GCAGGAGGGGCTCTTTACAAAACAGATGGTGCCATGACGAAACAATATTACGGTGGAAATATTGAAGCAGCATCTCAAGACGTCAACCAGGAAGTAGAAGCTTAGACACAAACGGATCTTCAAACGGACAGTTTGTCAAAGACGTTTGTCTCAAAAAGAGACGTCACTAAATGTTCACGAGGTTTTCTAGGCGACTCGCAGTCCATCAAACAAGAAGGGAAACGTTTGTGTTTCTGTTAGCAGACCTGAGGCAGAGCAGTGATGGGCAGAACCAGGCCAGCGACAGTGGAGGTAGGTGACCTCACCTGTGTGCGTGCATGTGCGTGTGCATGTGTGTGTGTTCATGTTGGGCTGCTGCCACTGACCCGAATGACTCCCTGTAATATGACCTCAGCGCACCCAAACACTACCGCAGCCACGTCGTCGCTGCTCGACCTCAGAGGCCTGTCCACAGACTCCAGCGATGACCTGATGCTCATGACGGGCGACGCCCCCCCTCTCCAGCCCCAGCTCGCCCCCCCTTCACAGGCGGGAGAGCAGAACGAGTTGTGTGCTTTTGGAAGCCTCTCTCATGTCTCTGGTAAACAGGCTGGCTGTCCTCTCCGTGAATTCTGACAGAGTCTCAACTTCCTGTCTCGCTGTTTCCTGCGGCGAATGTTCTTCAACTCTTTCCTTTAGTCTCTTCTTTACCGTGCACGTTGTTCCCTTGCCTTCATCATACTCCTCCTCTCAGCCTCATTTGTACCATCCACCCCCAGGTGTTTTTAAACGTTATTTAATCTGCTGGAGCCCGTGAAACGTATGAACATGTGATAACGAGCAGCCCTGCTGGAGTCCAGCTCCCACTCTGAACAACCGTGAACATTTTACTAATAAAATTTATTTAACTGAAGACTAGCTGAACCATTGTTTAATAATCTGATCTACACTGAACTCAAAACATCCAGTGACACTTTTACAAATCTACTTATCGTACTTTTCGCCGTACACGTCGCAACGCCGTATAAGTAGGCCTGTTGTGATAAATTAATTAATCGCGTGATAAATGAAAATTATTGACCTCGTTTTCATTCATCGGCTTTATCGTTTCTTCATGTCTCTGTCTACTGTTCTTCACTGACCCCTCCCTTTCTCTTTCCTCTTTAAAATCTGTTTTAACCGTCCAAAATAACGTTTTTGGATTGTTTTAAAGCAGCTACGCTGAGAAGCTAAGCTAACAGGTTGACCTCCGGGAAAAAAACTCCGTCTTGTCGAAGCTCCAAAATTCACAGTTGAAACCCGTGAAAAAGTTGTTTTTTCTCTGCAAAAAGAAGCTGAGAACTAGTTTACTGATTGTTTTATTTTTATTTAACGCTATAGAGCTCAAACCACACCGAGCGTCCGCCATTTTGAGAACCGAAAAGAGACAGCCCATGTCACGTCAAGGGGCCTCCCTCCCATTTTTCTTAAAGAGACACGCTACCCGCTCCCTCACTATCCATCCTTCGGTTCAAACAGCCTTATACTGCCATCCAGTGGTCAAAAAAGGTACTACACCCAAAATAAATGAACATTTATTAAATTTGATATTAATTATTGTCAAATTTCAAACAATAATATCGTTTATCGCAATAATTTCTGAGACAATTAATCGCCCAGCAAAATTTGTTATCGTGACAGGCCTACGTTTAAGTCACATCTTTTATGCGTCGCCGCTAACGCGACGTGTTTGTTAGCTGCCAAATGGCAGTCACGGGAGCGTGCACGAGAGGATTTTTAACAAGAATTTAACAAGATTAACACCTAAAAACAATTGTTTGCTCGAAGTTATAGTAAAGCTGTGTCTCAGTTGAACTTTTCCTTCATAAATGCACTTTACTGGTCAAATCAGCTGCATTTCAGCTGGTCGGCGCGGTGAAATGCAGCTGATGTTTGCTCCAGGAGTTCCAGAGCAAGACAAAGATGGCTTGGTATGGCAAGTCAAGTGTCTCGTTAATAGCCACTTTTACTTATTAATGAGAGACTTGGCTTGCCGTATTACTCTAGGGCTCGCTAGTGGCTGAAAATGGTAATGTTCAATATTTTTCATGTCGGAATGAATGAAATCAGATCTCAGCCAAAAATTGGGTTATAAATATGGGGAAAACATAAATAAGTCTCATAAGTCACAGTCCTGCTAATTTATGTAAAACGCTGCAACTTATACAGTGAAGAGCACGGTATTTCTGCCACAGTATTTTGTTTCTCTGTAGATGTAAAACACACTTTCATTTTTTTATGAATTGAGGAATTATTTAATATAAAAGATAAAATTACAAATTCTCCACGTCTGAAGCTTCAAAATGATCCGTAGGTTATGATTTAACGCTTTATTACAAAAGTGCTGGTTAAAATTTATTTATTTATTTATTTTTTTGGTCTGGGATGATGTCAACAGGAATTCCAGGCTTGTAAAGGAATGTCCATGAAAGTTGAGTCAGATCATCCGGATGGTTTCTGTTTTTTTTTGTTGAGACGTTTTGTCCTTCATGGCTTTGGTTTGTGGCTCCTAAGATTGATGAAGTCCTTGGGATGAAGGGTGAATTGTCTCAACAAAAAGAAACCGTCCAGATGATCTGACTGAATTCTGTTGGATTTTTTTTCCTGGATTATTGAGCATGAACCTTCATGGAATGTCCGAGCTTTACAATGGCCCCAAACATTATATGAAGGGATTTCCCAGTGCTAAGGCAGCCGGCAGAGAAACATGGAAAGGAAATGGACAAAGGATTGTTTCTAAAGACGCACCTGTTGGACAACTTAGATTTAAAGTAAAATGATGTGCCATTTTATGTTGTCTGTATAGACTTGTTACGCAGATCGTATCTACGGTAAAAATGAACTTTTTAACGTCTTTTCCAGTGCAGCGTCGTGATGCGAGGTTTTATTTAGAACCATTAGTTTCTTCCTTCTGGTTTTTCTTCAGTAAAATTTTCTTTGTTAAACTTTAATTTCACTGACAGAGTTTCTGTTACACGATCCTGAGTGTCCTCTGTTCCCCTCTAGATGGTGGTCTGCTCTCAGGGGGTGTGTCCGTCCCCTCAGAGACGGGTCTGAGACTGGACGAGGACGACGGCGAGCGCAGCGACATGGCCTTCCTCAAGGACCTCCTCAGCTCGGGTCCAGGGGGCAGCGATGACTTCAGCAGGGAGTGGCAAGATGCGTTCGGGATGTTTGACCCTCCCAGCGTCCCCGCAGCGAGCGCAGGAGCAGAGGGTCCAGCGGCGCGCCCCCCCTCCAACCCTCCCAGCCCCACGGGCTTCCTGCCTTCTCAGCTGCTGGACCACAGCCTGAGCTCCACAGGTGAGCTGGATGGGTCAGATGTTTGTTGGACGGAGAGGAAAATAACTTTTCTCACCTCTTTACCTCCACTTGTTCTTCAGGCTGGGCGACCCCGCCTATGTTCCAGGCTCCGCCCCTGCAGCTCCCCACTGGTCAAAGCCAGACAGCTCCTCGGACTCCAGGTTCAGCAGCCAACGGTACGATTCCTACTCGTATTTTGATTGACAAATGTCCCGTTTCTTTTGGGGGGGGGGGGGGGGGGGTGACAACTACTCTGCATGTTTAGACGTTTCCAATACACCTGATTTCAATCATGAGGTGATGAACAGGTTTCTACAGGACATGGAGAGGTTTTTAACTGGTGAATCAGGTGTGTCAGAGCAGAGGAACCAGTAAATTAGGGGTTCCCAACCCTGGTCCTTGAGGAACACCATCCTCCATGTTTAAGTTGTTTCTGTGCTCCGACACACCTGATTTTAATAAATGGGTGATTAACAGGCTTCTGCAGAACATGAGGAAGTAATTAAATCAATGAATCAGGTGTGTTGGAGCAGGATACAACTTAAACATTCAGGATGGTGTTCCTCAAGGACCAGTGTTGGGAACCCCTGAGTAGAACATGCAGGATGATGTTCCTCAATGACCAGTGTTGGGAACCCCTGCAGTAGAACATGTAGGATGATGTTCCTCAAGAACCAGTGTTGGGAACCCCTGCAGTATAACATGCAGGATTGTGTTCCTCAAGAACCCGTGTTGGGAACCCTTACAATAGAACATGCAGGATGAAGTCCCTCAAGAACCAGTGTTGGGAACCACTGCAGTAGAACATGCAGGGTGGTGTTCCTCAAGGACCAGTGTTGGGAACCCCTGCAGTAGAACATGCAGGATGAAGTCCCTCAAGAACCAGTGTTGGGAACCCTTGCAGTAGAACATGCAGGATGAAGTCCCTCAAGAACCCGTGTTGGGAACCCCTGCAGTAGAACATGCAGGATGGTGTTCCTCAAGAACCCGTGTTGGGAACCCTTGCAGTAGAACATGCAGGATGATGTTCCTCAAGGAGCAGCATTGGACACCCCTGCCATAGAATCTGTTTGAGTTTGTTCCAGTCAGACGGGTTTACTGATGTTTGTTCCTCGTGTTTTCTTCAGCTGCCTCAGGAGGCTCCAAAGACATGTCTGCGTGGTTCAACCTGTTCGCCGACCTCGACCCGCTCTCCAACCCCGACGCCATCGGACGCTCCGCAGACGAGCTGCTCAACGCCTGAGCTTTTCTCTCCAGCATTTTTCTCCGTTTCAGACAGTTTCCGTCCCATCACGCCGTCACACACAGGCCGTGCACAAACACACGTACATGTGTGTAACCTGTGAAGGGGACATGTCCTCCTGAACTGATCTGTTTACGGACTCGACCTGCGAGCCCACCGAACCCGCCATGATTCCCGTCTGTCGGGTTCCGTCTTCGCTCGCGACACCGACGTGTCGCTGTTGTGTTTGCGTCGTTTGGGCGTGCGTCGGTTTGTGTGCGCTCACATCACGAAGGACCCGGGGTGGTTTTTAAAAAGCTCGTTTCCTGTATGTTGCTGTTTGTCTGACGTAGCAGTGAAGTCCACATAAAGAAGAACTGAAGCACAGCTGGCTCTCGTTCACAACAAAATGACATCATTGTCTGTTTCTCGTCTTTTTCCAGCAGCTGGTTCTGTTCAGTGTTGGTTCCTGCTTTGAGTCTGTGCCGCTGCAGTTTTTAGTCCCTCTGTTTGCTTTAGAACCGGTCTGCTTTTCCTCTCCGCTAAAGAAAACCAGCTAAGCTGAAAGCGGAGGGTGGCGGTGAACTGCGGACAACTTAAACGAGTCAAGTCTTTTTCTAAATCCTTGTTTTTCTATTGATATTTCTGGGACATAATTAGTCAAAATACCACTTTTAATTATTTTTTTGTAAGCAGCTCTTTTCACTAACCCTTGACACAAAAGAACTCTGAAGGCGCATCAGAGCCAAACAGAAGAGAAAAAGTTTTTTGGTTTCCAAGTTTCAAGATTGATGTTGAGGAAAAATGTCCAAATTAAGGTAAAATGGCAGAAATGGTTACAATGACCGCACGTTTTGTGAAAATCATGACTATACGTTAGAGAGGGGTTTATTATGGAAACTCATTTAGCACACGGATTGTAACGAGCTGAACAGAACCTGCAAATATCTCAAGTTCAAGCAGCTGATGTGTGTTGAGGTCAGGGCTCTTATTGTGAAGGACTGAAGGAAGTTCTGCGGCTGCGAGAGTAATAATAGCTGTACTTTGGACTGCTTCAAATCAGTTGCTTCATGATGTTTTGAAGTCCGCAGCAATTGGAAAAAAATGCAAAAAAGGATCAAACACCATCAGGAGAACTGTGAAGCTCACCTTGTTTAGTCTTGAAACTCTTCGAAACCAAAACTATATTTAAATTTAATGTTTTTGTGATTCCGAGTGGTTTCGACTCTGCGTCCATCTGGAGAAATAAGAGCTAGAATGAGTCTTTGCTGGGAAATCAAGAAGCTTGACAATGAAAAGTAAAATTAGACCTTTTTCAAACCCAGATGACTTTAAAAAAAAAACAACTTATCATTCTTGATTTGGCCTCAGACAAATACTCTGTCCACACAGGAAGTATTTTATTTTAACATTTCCCCTTTAATCTTCACTCAGTTCTTATTAAATCACTTTTGATGGCCCAAACTGCATCAGATGATACTGAACAACTAAAACTTTGTGTAACTAAACAAACAGAACAATGATAATCAGGATTATAGCAACATAGCAACACTTAATGAGGATAGATGAAAGCAAATGAATAAGTCTAAAGGTGTAAGCCCCGCCTCCTGGCCCTCTCAACCAATCAGAGCACAAGGTGAAATAAATCAGTTAACAAATTGATAAGTGTCTTTTGTTAGGGGTGTATTATAATCCCAGCTGTATTTTTATCATAACCCGTTTTTCCCCCGTAAAATAACCTGCTAACGTATAAATTGTATCGTTTGTAAGCTAACTCGCCGGTTCAACGGTAAACAGACTAATTGGGTTTTTTATGGAGTTTTTAGCCTTGAATCCGACTAGAAGTTTGTTTTTGTTGTTTTTGGCTCACTGTTCTCTCACACAAACTAAATTTTGTTAAACATTTTAAAAACCGGTTTCCAGATTTATTTGATGAAGGACTTTTTAAAAACGGGCGACGTAGTGTGCCCACAATCGACAAAAATGAAAAGTTTAGGAAAAATCAGCCAAAACTACGAAAGTTCTTTCTCTGCGTTTTCATATGTTTTTTTTTTATGTTCTCGCCACCAAGAGGCACAGCATGGGTATTACACGTTCTGTTACAGCGACAAACGGTTAAAAAAACATCCGGAATTCAGTGGTTCCCAACCCTGATCCTTGAGGAACACCATCCTGCATGTTTTAGTTGTTTCCCTGCTTTGACACACCTGATTTGAATGAATGGCTGACTAACAGGCTTCTGCAAACCCTGATGAAGTAATTGAATCACTGAGTCATGTGTGCTGGAGCAGGAAAACAATTATGCAGGATGGTGTTCCTCAAGAACCAGTGTTGGGAACCCAACGTTTATTCTTAAAAGCTGTATTCAAACGGCAACAAACTGGTTCCTTCTTCATCTTAAAGTGAGCAAAAGTCATTTGTGATCCAGACTTTATTCAAAATGTAACTTTCTATTATTCAGACAAGTTTTTATTAATATATAAATATAAAAGATAAACTTATTGGTTCACAATATAATGTGAACCGAAGATTAAGAACATGCTTTATAAATGCATTTACTTATAAACAAAGTTTTTTTTTTTCCTCTTATTTCTAAACATAATTAAACAAAATGAGTTATGTTGTCCTTAAGTTATCTTTTGTTTAGTCTGTGCTAGCTAAATGTCTGTTAGCTTTGCAAAATGGCCATAAAATGTAAAGAACCCTGCAAAAACATTAGTCCGTCTCAAAGTCCAGCTGTCGGCTTTAAACCTGCACAGGTGGAACCAAAAGGAACCTGGACTTTGACTAACAGACTCTTGGAGACCTCTGTTCTTGATGCCCAAAACCGCTCTTCATACATTGTCGCCCGTCTATAGCCAAGAAAATAAACATGTAAAGAATATATTTATAAGATATACAAGATCATCTTAAGTTTACATACACCATAGGAAAAAAACGGAACCTTTTCTTTCATTCCATCTGACCTTAAACTATGATTCTGAAATTATTTCTAGGGGTTCAATACCCTCTCAAATTATGACGGAGAGAATGCAGTACTACGTTCTAAGTTCCAAGTATTTTGTAGCGCTACCTTTTAAACTTGGAGAAGGCGTTTGACCGTGTTCCTCAGGGTACACTGCGGGGGGTGCTCCGTGAGTATAGGATTGGAGGCCCGTTGCTATGGGCTGTTTGGTCCCTATACAAGTGGTGGTATATATTGGTTTGCATTGCCAGTAGTAAGTTGGACCCCTTCAGGGTGGGAGTTGGACTCCGCCAGAGCTGCCCGTTGTCACCGATTCTGTTCACAACTTTTATGGACAGAATTGGTGCAGCCAGAGGGCGGAGAGTTTTCGGTTCGGTAGCCTCAGGATTCCATCTCTGCTCTTTGCAGATGATGTGGTCCTGCATCATCGTGCCGTGATCTCCAGCTCTCACTGGAGCGGTTCGCAGTAGAGTGAAGCGGCTGGGATGAGAACCAGCACCTCCAAATCTGAGGCCATGGTCCTCAATCGGAAAAGGGTGGATCGCTCTCTTCAGGTTGAGGGTGAAGTTCTATCTATGGTCACGAGCTCTGGGTGCTGACCAAAAGAATGAGATCGAGGATACAAACGGATGAAATGAGTTTTCCTCCACAGAGTAGATGGACTTTCCCTTAAAGATGGGGTGAGAAGTTCAATTATCCGGGAGAGACTCGGAGTAGAACCACTGCTCCTCCACATCGAGAGGAGCCAGTTGAGGTGGTTCGGGCACGTCCGACTGGGAGTAGACCTCAGAGATAATCCAGGATACGCTGGAGAGACTGTCTTTCTGTTGGCCTGGGAACGCCTTGGGGTCCTCCCTAAAGAGGTGGCTGTGGAAAGAGACGTCTGGTCCTCCCTGCGCAAGCTGCTGCTCCCACGACCCGACTTCGGAACAAGCAGAAGATAATGGATGGATATCTTTTTAAACTGTCATGACATCATCGGGGTTTTCTTAAAGGCCAAATAATCTTGGTGTATGTAAACTTGCAACTTGAAAGAAATTAAAGTCTTTCCGCGTTTTTCAAACATTTAGTAGATAAAATAATTTTGTGAATGCTAACTGACCGAAACACGAAATGTTAAATTTTTTTCAATAAGGGGGAAAAAAAACCGTCATTTATTTTAGTGTATGTAAACATCTGGTTTCCGCTAGATTTCCAGCTTTAACAGTGTGGTGCATTTCTTAAACACTTGTTACCCATACATTTCTATTTATCACTTAATTCTCGCACATCTGAAAGCCTTCAAGTGGTAAAGAATGTTATTTCTAAAAACTAAGATTTTTATGCCTGAAAGCACTTTGTGCCCCGCCTGGAGGAGCCGGATCGGTTCCGTCGTGTCACGTTCTTCTCAGTGAGTTTCAAAATAAATGAAGTATTTCTCAAGTCTGACAAAGATGCTTTATTTGTTCCAATTATGCCTTTTATTTCACTCGAAGGAGATTAAACGATGAAACGTTGGCAGTTCATTAAAAAAAAAAAAAAGACACCAGAACAGCTTTTCTTGCCTCGTTCCAAATATCTCGTTTATCCACTTCGGAAATTTTTTTTATATTCTTTTAAACTTTGGAACAAACCCACCATGATTGATTCAGCAAGTGAGCGTAATTTGGAGCAGAACTTTCATCTTTTCTTTCTTTTTTTAATTTTTTTTTTATACGTAATCATTTTAGTCGATCAACAAACGACATCCACTTTTCTACTTCTACTCTGCTACACTTTCAGAAAACCCACCATGAGGCTACACGAGTGACTCCCCTCCATCTCTACAACCTGAGACGGACCAGTTCTTGTTCCGAATCCTCCCGAGACCCACATCAATGCTCCTGCGTGAGAAATAAATATGGTAATTATCGCAACGACGAGACGGAGAAGAAGTGGTACCTTACACTTGTTGATGCGTTCGATTACGTATCTGTCAACCCATAGTACAAACACGGCGCCTCTCTATTTACAAGTCCGTACATTCCTGTCCCGCTGCAGCAGGCACAGTCAAAGTAACCACATGTACAAGAACACAGGCGGGGTTCAGCCACGGAGAGTTCGTCAATCAGGAAACCCTTGAACTCCACTTCAATTCGTTGAGTAATCTGCACGTCTCTGTTGAGTCAGTGTCTTATTTATCGTAGCACATTTTCAAACAAAGAGTTCCAGGTGCACAAGCGACCGAGACCGATTCGAGAAGGAGTTTGTTTTAGAACATGCTTCAGATTCTTGTGGCTCGCGAGGACTCTGAGAACTCCTGTGGACGTTCTGAGACGATCTAGAAAGTCCGTCGTGAACGCGGTTGCCAGGTGAGACCCGGCTTCCGTCGATGCGGCGCGATACTTCAACCACAGCTTTGAGGTTTGACATGTTTTGAAGTTGTTACATCTCCGTGTTCACTGGCGCACAGCTAGCCACGCTCTAACTCATGTATTTTGACGCATCATTAAATTGAACACGACTGTCTCCTACGAGTGTTACCGATTGAAAGCCATGTTAGAAAATGTTTTTTCTAATATTTCTAGAATATCCTGAGACCTAGGCCTGTCACGATAACATTTGCTGGGCGATTAATTGTCTCCGAAATTATTGCGATAAACGATAATATTGTTTGAAATTTGACAATTTAGTACTTGTTGTCAAATTTAAGAAGAAAAGTTACATTTATTTTGCATGTACTACCTTTTTCGACCACCTAATAGCAGTATAAGACTGAACCAAAGGATGGAGACCGAGGGAGCAAGAGTCTCTAAGAAAGATGGTTAAGCTTATGAGCTGATCGGCCTGTTAGCTTAGCTTCTCAGCTTAGCTGCTTTTAACGATAAAACACGATTTTGGACGGTTAAAACAGATTTTAAAAGAGAAAGAGGGGTCAGTGAAGAGCACCAAAGTTGAGCTATGTCCTCAGTAGAAAGAGACGCATAGAAACGATAAAGCCGATAAATGAAAATCAGGTCGATTAATTGATTTATTGTTTATCGCGACAGGCCTAGAGACTACTTGATTTTTTTGGCTCGATCCTAAATAAATAAACTGAATTGATTTGAATTATGATAAAGTAGTTATCTCCAAACCCCAAAATTAATTCATTTGATCTGCATTTTTCCTCTTTTAAAAAACTCTGGATTATACCATTGGTGCAACTAGACGTATGGACACGTAACGGGAAGTTGAAGCTGAAGGGACAAGGGCGCCCCCAAGTGGCCCAAATCTGAAAATCTTTTCATGACTCTGAACGTGACAAATCTTTTTTTTAATTTTTCAAAACCAAACCAGGTCTTTTTTGTGCGCGGTGCTAAATTGGATACATACTCAATGTTTTTCAATGGGACTTTGGTCTGAACGGTCGTTTCCTCCAACTTTTACGTCAGTGAGGTAGGCGTGTACAGATCTATCCACATGTTAACATCGATATCGACGTCATGTAGTTGAAGACTTGGAACCTCACAGGTCTTCAGTTATGTCCTGAATGACTGAGAATCAACAGCAACATACGTTGCTAACGTTTGTGTCAGACCATACCAATACTAGTGTTGCACATGATGTGTTCTTTAAAAGGAGGTCGTTTCAGGACCGTGGACTGTTCACAATGAAGACTGATGGTCGCAAATAAATCATTGTCTGAATACTGATCTGAATCGAGCATTAGGACCTACACAGGGCTTAATTTGTAAACGATCATGCAGGAACGTAAATAGTTATATATAAAGGGGGGGGGGGCTGTTCCTCCCCCTGAAAATTTTGAAGTAGATGCGACTTCCTGCATTTTGGTGTATTTTAACGTGTTAATCTACGTTTACCTACATTTGTAAACACTCCGCTTCTGTCAAGCATCCTAGCCCCCTCCCCCATACTTGATGGTTCCTAGCTCGACTCTTCTCCAGTTAATTGACTGTCCGACTCCACACGTGAAACCTCCAGGCGCCTCCTCCGCCTGTTCATGGCGACTGCCTGTGGGCTTCTGCTCGCGTACGACTGCCTGGTTAACTCGGCACTGACCCCACCACTCTTTCAGGGGTGGAGATTTTTTTTAAGGATAGACGCGTAAATGCTTACTTAAAAAAAGAAACTCGTGAGTGGCTATTATGTTTAAAATTAGTGTTTATGTAAATATTTTCAGTTCACACATCCAATATAGGTTTTATTTGTTCAAGGCAGTCATATTTGTTCAGAATTTTATTATTAGTAAGCCTGAGAGTTACCGGATCCAAGCAAACTGTTACCGGAACACACCTTTTCAAAATAAGAGTTGTCAGATCCTGTTCCGGCAGGATCTGGATCAAATTAAGCCCTGGATCTACATTGTGAACGTAGTCCAACAGGTGGTGAACTCAGTAACATTTAGGATTTATCACGACCCCCGTGTACCCTGTGGTCTAGAAGTTTGGGTCAATGGACCTCTCCGTGAGCAGAACCCTGCCAATCGACACTTTCAAAGAGCAAGACGAAAGGAAATCAACAAGGAGGGGCTGTGGGGTGACGGTGGAATTGCAAAAGGATGCGGTCGGCTAAGGCTGGTGCTCGGGAAGGGTGGGGTGTGAGCAGACATGGGTCGAACACACTGCAAACATCAGAGCCCTGGCCTGGGTTTCCCACAGATGCACACCGAGCAGCAGCTTTGGAAACGCTCAGGAAAATACACAACAGATTTGGTCAAGAAGGTTTTTTTTTTTTTAAAGATGCATCCTGCTTGTATTTTCAATCTGCTGACTCTGTGATTATCTGCGGCCGTCGTAGTGCAAAGACCCAACGTGACCCCGGCATTACGACGGCCCAGGGGAGAGGAGCGGTCTAAAACGTCAGGCACATGTTGAACTTTTCACAACCCTTCGAATTATGCTACGGTACATCTGGCAGCACCAAGAATTAGCCTCCGTGGTCGACCTCTTGGTCGCCAAGAAAACCAGCGACCTTTTTTTTTTTTTTTTTTTAATGTCCCCTTGTAATGGAAGGCATAATTTATATCAAGAGAAAGAACTACAGATAGAAAAAGAGATGTCCGTGGAAAAGGCGCCATGGTTTAATACGATGAAGTCAAAAAGTCTTTTCGCCCCTTTTCCTCCCAGGAGAACGGGAACAAAACCAGTGAGGGTAGAAGAAAGCGATGAACTGCGGGAGTCTCATGTCGGAGGAGGAGGCAGTGGGAAGCGCTTTTACTTTTTAATTTATTTTTTGTAAGAAAGGACATCAGAGAGAGCGTAGCTGCATGCTGAAGGCATTCTTTTAGCCGTTTTGGGGAGCAGAAGGGTTCCTTCTCCTCAAATGTTTTCTGATTTCACTGAAGGGTTTCTTGTGGGAAGTGGGAGGGAGGGGCGTCGACTTTAAGGCCAACGGGGCCGTCAGAAGCTCTCGGGCTCCTCCAGGAGGCAGGGCTGGGTGGACAGAGGCACGAGGGACGGGGACAGGCTTCGGAGGCCCACCGCTGAGCGAAAGCTGAGGTCCGGGGCGGGCAGCAAGGGCTTGAGGATGCTGACGAGGCAGAAGGCAGAGCCGCTGTTGGGGATGAAGTTGACCTTGTTGCGGTCGGGACACAGGAAGGGGGGGATCTCCTGCAGAGCTTTAGACCTGGAAACATGCCGGGGGACACATTACTCAGATTACATTCGTCAGATTAGATCAGTGGAAAACCTCAGATGTGATGACTGCTTCACTCACATGGACTCATCGGACACCTTGACCTTCTCGCAGCCCTCTGGAGGCTCCCTCTTGAACATGTAGCTGTTGTTGGGCCTCGGAGAGGCGGCGTACTTGGGCAGTGGGGAGCAAGGGCTCAGCGCTGTGAACAGAAACGGGAAGTGAGGCGGTTAAGCAGCGCGCGACGTAGGCCTGTCACAATAACAAATTTTGCTGGGCGATTAATTGTCTCAGAAATTATTGCGATATACGATAACATTGTTTGAAATTTGACAATAATTAGTCATTCTTGTCAAATTTAAGAAGAAATGTTGTAATTTGTTGTGCCATTCTTTGACCACCAGTTGGCAGTATAAGACTGTTTGAACTGAAGGATGGATAGTGAGGGAGCGAGCAGTGCGTTTCTTTAAGAAAATGGGAGGGAGACCCCTTGACGTGACATGGGCTGTCGCTCCTTTCTGTTTTTTGGTTCTAAAAATGGCGGACGCTCAGTGTGGTTTGAGCTCTTTAGCATAGCATTTTTCACACAAAGCTTTTAATTTAAAAATCAGTAAACAGGTTCTCAGCTTCTTTTTGCAGAGAGAAACAACTTTTTAGACGAAGGCACGGGTTTGAACCGTGAATTTTGGAGCTTCGACAAGATGGAGGTTTTTTCCTCAAGGTCGGCCTGTTACCTTAGCTCGTAGCTTAGCTTCTCAGCTTAGCTACTTTTAACGATCCAAAACGTGATTTTTGGACGGTTAAAACGGATTTTAAAGAGAAAAGAGAAAGGGAGGGGTCAGTGAAGAGCACCGGAGTTGAGCCTTTTGTCGTCCGGTGTCTTCAGAAAGAGAGAGACACGAAGAAAAAATAAAGCCAATAAATGAAAATGAGGTCGATGATTTTAATTTAACGTGCGATTAATTGATTTATCGTTTATCGTGACATCCGGTCGTGGCGGACCACTCACCCTTCTCGTCGTAGGGGCTGTTGCCGGCCGCGTCGTTCAGGACGGTGAGGTAGGAGGGCGAAATGGAGTCGGGACGGCTGCTGCAGTTGCTATGGTTACCGCTCAGGCCGCCCCCCGACGGAGTCTGCGTGTCGATGCTGCGGGTGCTGCTGCTGCGCTGTGGGGGCAGGGGAGGGGGCGCACGATGCCCATCGGGGACATCCTGTGGCTGTCGAACACAAAACATCTGGGTCAGAGCAGAACTGGAGTCCGGCCAGCGGAGAACACGGTCGGGTCTTATGAACTCACCACGATGGTCTCCTCCTTCTCGGGCGAGTCTCGGATGATGATGCGCTCAATCTCTTGGTTCAGGCCCTCCACGCTGTTACGGAAACGAGGAGCCGAGGACTTGGATATGGGGATGGGTATCAAAATGGTTTTGGGTATTTGCGTCTGAACAATAAAGAAGACAAAACACACAATCAGATTACTTTTGTGCAGCTCAGCGTTTTCACTCAGATTTGGCAGCTGGTGTCCTCAAAGCCCCACCACTAAAACCAGTGGGTATATTAAGTCCACTCTCACTGGATGGCTACGGTTTTTGCCACCAGAACAGACCTGTCACGTCAGGACTTCTCTAGACCAGGTGGGACCTCGAGTTGGGTCGTTCAACAAGAGAGAGGTCTTGGAAAGAATTTAAACTAAATACCAGCAGAAAATAATTTTTTTAACGCAGATGTATTTTTACATTTATTACTCTAATGAAGGTGGAGGCAGATGTGGGTGCTTCACCTTTCCCCACCCACAGTTTTGTTGTGGGGATTTGAACCAGCAACCTTCCGAGCACATGCTTGCCTTCATTAGCTTCTGTGCCATCACTCCCCCATCACTGAGCCCTAAGTACCGAGACCAGATCCACGCTGTTTTCAGCCTTTACTCTTTGACAAATGTTGAACGTTAGGGGCTGTACGTCATCTATCAAAGTGTCCAATCTACGTGTAATCCAAAACCTAATCTCACGTCATGTCTGTAATACTGTAATCTTAAAGCAGTCTAAGTTTTCATACCGTAATCCTAACATTGTCCAGAACAAGTGAGGACGGCGTGCTTCATTAGAACCGAGCTTTGAAAGTACAGTAGTCCCTCGATACTTTGCTGTTCGATTTTTGCAGACTCACTCTTTCGCAGGTTTTCAACACGAGATTTAAACGACACAGGATTGTCGATGGGGAAATTCAGACCCCGCCCCCTCCTTTCTCTTTCTGAGGCTGTCTGTCACAGCAGAGCAGAGACACAACAGACGGGCATGCAACCCTGTTCTGTGACTACTCTGCTGTGACAGACAGCCTCAGAAACAGAAAGGAGGGGGCAGGGTCTGAATTTCCCCATTGCTACTGCTCATGGAGCAGGGATGAACACATCAGATGAACAAATGTAGAATATCTGAGAAAATGCTTAGGTAGGAAATAAGAGTGAATCAGTTTTTTTTTTTTTTTTTTTAGAGTTGCTGAGCGCAGCTCACTCAGGTATAAGACGGAACCCCTGCCCCCTCCTTTCTCTTTCTGAGGCTGTCTGTCACAGCAGAGCAGAGACACATACAGCCTTGGAAAAAGAAAGGAGGGGGTGGAGGTCTGTCTTATGCCTGAGTACATACCTGTATACACAAGCGGCATGGATTGTTTATTTAAAATAAAGTGCGACCCGAACAGAGCCTTTAGTCCCACTCGGCAATCACTGAGCGGGCCAGGTCACCGGGAAATGTCCCAGCGCTCCCAATGGCCAGTCCGACTGGCTTAGTAACCGTAGCATCAGTTTGTCTGCTCTCTTTCACTGTGCTCTTTTAGTGCGTTTAGAGAGTTTAGAACATTGTTAAGAACATTGCAAGAGTGTGGGGTTTATAAAGCCTTAAAATATATATAAATATTAAAATAAATATAACATTCCTACTTTGCGGATTTTCACCTATCGCAGGGGTGTCTGGAACGTAACCTTCGTGATAAGCGAGGGACTACTCTATTCATGTGTTCTTTATGAGGACACCCAAACAAGAATAGACAAAACTTGGGACGTCCTCCAGCGTCTCCCTGATCACCTGTGACTGAATGATGGTGTGGCTGCCATTGAACGGAGACTTGCGCTCTTTGTCCCTCCGATGGCGGCTGCTGCGTTTGCTGCGCTGGAGCTGCTGCCGCAGTTTTGCAATCTGGAGAGTTTGGAGAAAAACGCATCAAAACAGGCAGACAATGGGTTTAGAAGCTGCCTTGTAAAAAAAAAAAAAAAACTTGCAGCACGGATGACAAAAGATGCAAGCGGACCTCCTTGAGTTGGTCGGTGCTCCCGCAGGAGGCCGAGCGTTTGTGAGAGCCTCTCCTCCTCTCATCTGCCCAGGCCCTGGGGGTCTGAGACACACAAAAACACACATATTTAACTAATAAGGTAGTTGCATACAATAGATTAATTAAATACTGATTATAGTAGAAGAAATTAAGCAATCAGCAGAGTTTTGGACTGTTTCGGTTGTTTAAACCAATGGTTCCCAACCCTGGTCCTTGAGGAACGCCATCCTGCATGTTTTAGTTATTTCTCTGCTCCAACACACCCGATTCAGTGATTTAATTATTTCCTTAAGTTCGGCAGAAGCCTATTAATCACCCTTTCATTCAAATCAGAGGAACAACTAAAACAAGCAGGGTGGTGTTCCTCAGGGACCAGAGTTGGGAACCACTGGTTTAAATGGTAAACACTGTTTATCCTTATGTACGCCTTAAAAGAAAAGGTCATCTATTTTGAAATGCGTTTCTGTGAAAAGCTAGAAATGGTAAAAATCTCAATTGTTCTCCTTGAACCAGTTTAATTCTGACAGGACCCATGAGCGTATGGCTAATTGGAAAGCAGCCAAGATCACGAATTTCCCCAACAGTTCACATAAAAAGGAATATTTAAACCTTTATATTAGGACCACGTGATAATTTAGCCAGAAATTATTCTCGGAGTACGGCTGGTTCATGTTAAAGTTGCGATGACAAAACGTGTTTATCGCAACCAACATTACATAATTCAACAGTATTCCGACAAATATGTTCTAATATCTAACAATCTTAGTTTACACTTAATTACATGACTGTTTTTGTAGACGTGTTCCAAAAGTTCACTTGATGCCTTCAAAGTGATCCGTGGTGCTACTTAAAGAACAGGAGCCAACCTAGCTGCCTTGAGACTAGCCGTTAGCTCGTCAGTCCAGTCAGACGCAAACAAAAGAACGCATCTACAACAGGTAAGACACTACTTCTTCATAACTTTTACACAGAAACACTTCAAGAATGACAGTTTGATAGGGTGGTCACAAGTCTAACCCGCTCCAAAGACACGGCCACACAGGGTTTTATCGTGTTTGTATACAAATTAAAAAAGCCGACATGAGCTCAACAGAATTCCAGTGCTGGTTCGGCTGTTAAAGTATCGTGCAGGAGGGATTTATTCAGTCTGTCACTGTGAGCAGTTCATGATGCAACTGGCTGCAACCTCTCCTAACCTCGCTGGATTTACTGACTGATGGATGCGTGTGTGTCGGCTTTGGTTTGTTTAATGAACAAACTCATTCGTGATCGATTTGTTTGAACCGACCTGCGTGGCTTTGTCCCTCATGTAGGGAACGTGTTGTAGCTGGCTGTCGTCCTGAGGCCGGGGACCTGTCAGGTGAGCGCCAGCGAGCGCGCCCTTTGAGGGCCACAGCTGGATACGATGGCGGGGACCCGGCGAGGAGAACTGGGAGCCGCGAGCTCAGAGGGCGAGGAGGCCAACGTCGGAGGAGGAGCCAGGCAGAGAGGCGAGGACGGCTGAGGCCACGGATGCAGTCTGACAGGATGTAAACAACATATTAGTAAACAAACAAGCAGACACACTGCTGGCAGGTGTCGTTTTGTGTCTGGGAGTGCAGCCGGATTGACGTTAATCCAAGCAGCCTCCCTGGTAATGACATTTAAACAGCTTAAACCAGAGCAGGGGGGGGACACCGAGGGACAGGCAGCTTTTGACCAACTGACCCAGTTGGAAGCTGCTGCAGCAGGTTTTTGGGGGTTTCAGCTTCTTGCAGGATGAGCTAATGTACAAGACAAATTTTTTTTTATAGATTTCAAGTTATTTTGTTTGGAGCCGAGATGTCTGAATGAAAAATTGTTCATTCCCGTCTAAATAAAAAAGAAACGTGCAAACCGTGCAGTGAGTAACAGATCTTTTAAAGCAAAAAGTCCTGACTAAGACTTTATGGAACCAGCCCCTCGTTATGTGCGCTTCAAACATAAACAATAAACAATCGGCTTCAGAAGATGGACAACTCTTCAGCCCTCGGTTTATTTGACTGTTGCCTCCTTAGTGGAACATGTTTTGACGTGTCCGGACAAACAGCTTAGCCAGGCGGTGCAGGTCCTAAATTTGGATGGAGCCCTGTCCAGCATACATCCCTGTTGCTAGGCAACGCTGGCTTACCAATCTGTGGTAGCACACGGCTGTGTGTGTGTGTGTGTGTGTGTGACTGAGAGAGGGAGAGAGAGAGGGAGAGAAGGTTCTGTATGACAGCCTTGTGTTTTTATAGCTCAACATCATGCAACAAAACTACACTGCTATGAAGCTGGTTACTGCAGCGCGCCCTAACCCCCGTCCACTGCAGCGCGCCCTACCCCAGGTTCACTGCAGCTCGCCCTAACCCCCGTCCACCGCAGCGCGCCCTAACCCCCGTCCACTGCATCGCGCCCTAACCCCCGTCCACTGCATCGCGCCCTAACCCCGTTCACTGCAGCGCGCCCTAACCCAGGTTCACTGCAGCGCGCCCTAACCCCCGTTCACCGCAGCGCGCCCTAACCCCCGTCACCGCAGCGCGCCCTAACCCCCGTCACCGCAGCGCGCCCTAACCCCCGTTCACCGCAGCGCGCCCTAACCCCGTTCACTGCAGCCCGCCCCAACCCCGTTCACTGCAGCCCGC